TTTCTTTAAAGGTGTATTTGCGACTAAAATAAAACTGGCGCACTATGGAGCGAAATTGAGATTTATGGACATAGCGATTTTTTTCACAATTTCTATTTGAAAAAAATACCTATCGATAGGTTACGTTATTCNTACCTACATCGTGTACCTACAATATGCACTAACCTTCCAAGAATCGCTCGGCCATCAGTATCTGAGCTGTGGATCACGATTACCTTCATGTAGTTGAAGTGTTTCAACACATCCACCCACACGTCTGCTTGATGTGAATACGGTGGTACGGTCCTCAGAAACGACACGTGGATGTTCTTGTCGGAGAACGCAGAATCTCTTGAGGATATGCCGATTACTGGAATGTGGTAGAAGCCACTTGTGTACGACACCGCTGCAGGAGACAAGTCTCCAGTTAGAGGATGAGATACCACCACCGCATATACCTAAAACGCACGAATATAGTATCAAGCTTGAAGATATTACCCGTCTTTTATCCGTAGGATATGTTTCTGTTTACTTACTCTATGTCCAATGAGGTCTTTGCAAACATTCAGCGCTGTTTTGATTGGATTTGGGTCCATTAGTATCGAGTAATCGTGGTAAGTTACTCCTCGAGGCACATACTGGTCTTTGAAGTTCAGATTCTGGAAATTAAGTTTTTGATCTTTTACTGTAACAGTAAATAGTTCAGTGTAGTTTCTATGTTTTTTCAGTGAACTTAAACACTTAATAGTGTTTGTTTATTATTGTTGAGTATCGTCATCAAACGATAATCCCATTTAAGAAAAACATGACATCTTCTACTTGAGGATTTTTATAGAAGAACGGTATTATTTTCTCTATAAAAAAAATTGATCTTTCAGCTGATGCTCACCGATATAGTATCCTTGAAGAAAGCAATAGATTCGTTACTGGACAGCACTCCCCCCACATTGTAGTAAGTGGGGTTGGTGTACCGACGGCGATCAGGGTCGGCTGCTTCCAGCAGTGTGCCGCAGCACAACACCACCAGTATCACGTTTAGTGACATGGTTGTTAGGAGGACCTAGTGTTAAGATACATAATGATAATTATGTATTTTCTTGCTTAGAAAAAAAATCTATTATATTCTTGTTTTACCAGTTTTTGTGTGATGTGATATTTTTTTAAATCTATCTAACTATGAGTAGTAACAGTATTTATTTATTGATTTAACATTTTATCAGTATTTTGGGGAAAACATCGTCTCATAATACGTATTTTTATATTTAAACTCACTATAAACATTGACATAATGTTAAGCCTATGTAAAAGGTTTCTTAGATCATCCCTTCACTCATACAAGATTAGTGAACCCGTAAGCAAGACGTACCTAGGTAAGTAGGTACTTTAAGCATGAAACTAACTTAGATTGCTCTTGAATATTTGACCACACCTTCAGAGCTAAATGGTGCTTTAATTATGAAGATATAAGGGCACTACTACACTACACCAACAGCCTTACCTTATATTATGTTCTTCATTTGTTTTGCATAACACTCACTGTTTTTATTACGTCATTTTAGTGAAAAATATTCTTGTGAGGAACAGATGAGGGATGCTGGGAGGGATCGGTAGATGGAGCTTTTCTCCCGTTGCCTAGGCAACCGCGCAGGCGTAAAATACCAATCAATCCCGATGTTTTTAGGGCAATAGTTCGGAGTTTTGTCGTAAAGTTTAACGAAACGAAGTATATTGTGGTAACAATGCTTTATTGTAATGTTATAACATGGTTTTAAAAACAATTCGAGAATACAAACTTATTACCTAGTAAACTAATTCTAAATTATTATTTTCAACTAAACCTAATTTAAAACTACGAAAATATTTTCATCATAGGCAGATATAAAGTTATATTATCAGCAAAATCAGATAAACAGTTGTATAAAATCGATAGTAGCTTGTATTTACTTACTAAAATCAACAAAAACATCCTGTCGGAAAAACCAACGCTCACGATATGAAATCAAACTTAATTAAAGTTATACTAAGGTCAAAATCAATTTCCAAAATTCAATTTTCTTCCGAGATTTCTCAATCGTAGTCTTAAGACCAGTTCCAAGGGCTAGAGGACTGGGCCCAGCCATTAGAGGCCCAAGGCTTAGGCCAAGTGGGGTTCCATCCAGCTGTGTTTAGAGCAGCGGCGGCGGCAGTGGCAGCGTGCTGGGCCGCACCAGCAGCGCCAGCGGCTCCGGAGCTCTGGATCACGGATAGCTTGAGGGCTTCGATGTCTAGGAATAAGAAAGTCGCTTTAAAGATGTTTGGAAGGAATTTGAAGTTAGCACAATAATTAAATTAAAACGTTTATCTAAGAGTAGGCGCACACCGTTGTTTTTCGTCGGCCGATAGTTTACTCGGGCAGTTGATCAGTATGGGCATGTATGGGAGTGTGCACACTACACCGATTCGATTTGGCCGATTCTTCATACAAATTAAAATCGGGCACAACTATCGGCCAACAAAAATCAACGGTGTGCGCCTACTCTTAATTAATTAAGCAGATGTTATGCGGGTTACACACAGTTCGCACGTCAAAAAAAAATGTTTTTATTCATGCAGAAATTATTCTAAATCGGATCGCTTCCTAGTTGCCTTAGTTTATATTATACACAATTTAATTCGCCAGTTTCAGAGTTGTGCAAATTACATTCCACATTTCGTTTAAAGCAGTAGCAAGTGAAGTTACCCATCAGGGTAGTGAAAATAGAAAATCGCATGTGCAACGCCGTCACAATACAAAACATTTTACCAGCGTTATGCAGCCTAGCAGCTTGGGTGTGAGCAGCACGCTGCAGCGCCCTTGCAGCAGCCGCTTCCCTCGCTGCAGCTATCTTCTGCGCGACAGCAGCGCGGGCTTTGGCGGCTGCTAGTTGCGCCTGGGCTTGGACCGCCGCTTGCGCAGCTTCGAGAGCATGGGCACGCGCGTGTCTAGCTGCCTCTTCACTAAAAGACGAATAAGATTTACATGGAGAGGAATGGCGTTAGTGGTTACTTATTAAAATCTCGACGCCATTATATGTATTATTGCGGCCTTGGCAGTTACCAGCTGGGCCTGGGCCGCTGCCTGCGCCAGCTTCTAAAGGGTAAAAGTGTTCGTCTGGCTGCCTCTTCACTAAAACATACATTAGTTCGTGAACTAACTAAACTCAACATGGTGAAGGTGAAAGCGAGTTACATCTGGAATCCTCAACCACAACACTTTCCAGCAGGTAAGATTCAGGCCATGAGTTTCCTCATTGTGGTTAAAGAACCACTCATAAAAAGTTGTTTATACGAGTATTACGTACGATATTGCCCATAATACCAAAGTTATTATTGGAATTTCCAAAATCAGTTTCTGTTGTCAGACTTCAGAGTTGCAATAAGCTCTTCCTTAACTAACCTTTTGTGTGCTGCGTGAGCAGCAGCAACTTCCTTCGCCCCAGCGATGCTCTGCTGTTCGATGGCGGCGTGCTTCGCAGCTGCTACTTCGTGCTGGGCAGCCATCACTGCTGCGGCCGCGTCTTTGGCTGCTGCTACGGCTCCCGCTACGTCTGAACTGGTGTCTGAAGCTGGCGCTGAAAAACCATCACTTCAATGGAGTTCAGCATGATTAGGGTGAGTCTGACGACTTCAGATTTCATCAACTAATTTTTTTTTCGACATATCGAACACAGGTTTCTTACAAATTGCTCTAAAAGACACTTATCATCATTGTTTTGGTATGAAAAACAGAATCGTTAGAGTTTTACCCATACCATGAGCATGAGAATAGGCTCCAATGCTATGAGATGCAGGCGGGAAAGGGACGTTCCATCCAGCCAATGAATTCCATCCGGCAGTGTCGTACCCCACACTTCTTTTGTCTGGCTTAGTGGATGCCAAGACTACTGCGAGGACGGCCAGGAATGAGACCTGTAAGTTGACAAACATTGTAGCCTGTGTATTCCAGAGACAGAAGGATCACTACCAAATGGCATGGCATAAAGTCCTGCCCATAATTAAGTTGAAGATCAAATCCTAACAATGTTAAAAAGAATCAACCTTCGTGTTTATTTCTTACCAAAACCTTAGATGCCATGTCGATCGTTTGTATTGTTCACTGTTTGATAGCAACTGATGATGTGATGCTCCGATAGAGAAATATGGGATCTTTTATATGGTTAGACACGGAAAATAATGTTGAAAGGGACTGCCCTGATAGGCAATGGCTATAATTTCCCAGTGCAAAAAACGGGTATACAGTTCTGTTCAAAGTACCACATAAAACTTAATTGTACTTTCATTCTCGATGATCCGATTGTTGTGACTCGTAACTTACAGTGTATTTCTGTTCTGAGCTTTATGTCTTTAAATTAAGGATCACCATTTTGATGATATTGTTTTTGATAAACTAGTTCTAGCGCATTAATGTGGCCATGTGTGCCATTTACTGCGACTATTTGATTTTATAAGTTTTGGGCTTAATAATAAAGTTATGAAACTTGTTGCTATGATATTATCCATATCTACCTTATCATTGTGCGTCGCCGCGTCGAGGAGATTAGACGAACAATCTCTTCTACCTTTCTTGCATCGTAAAACAATTAGGAAGTTTTAAGGGACAACTATCTAACTCTATGTTGCGTAAACATGTGGGATACCGACTTATATAAATTTGTCATAATAAGTAGATGATAGGATTCTGAATCCTAGTCCTCTTAGAGGATTTTTAATTCTCTAAGCTAGCCCTACTTATTATAGTAACTACGTTATTTATTATAGTTACAAATTCGTACAAGTGAGCTTTTGGATGCTTTTTAAGAAGAATAAGAATACATTTATTTGCTTAAAACACGCTGTGTATCACACAGCGTTAAGCATTAGAATATTGGATTACACAATCCATCACAAAAACAGCAAACAAGATAAAAAAAAGAAAGATAAGGTATTAATAACGTTATTTAGTGATAACGGTATTTTTCATTGGTGTGCTCCATCCTTATCGACCATCAGCTGTCTTCAAACGTCAAACAGATACGCGGTGTTGTGTCAAACATCAAAAAATCAATCAAACTGTCATCTCCGGGATTTTATCGATTCAATTTTCTTCAATAGTTTTCAACTTCATTTCCCCTCTATAGAATTAAATCCAGTATGTGTTTTCATTAATTTGGCCACAAAAATTAAGAAGCTTCTGTGTAACACAAAGTAAGTTTTAGTTTTATGCCATTTTGATTACGTAAAATATTGGGATAGAACGTGCCGCATTTTGATAAAATTAAAATTTATTTTAAATAAAATATTCATTAATATTTATTGCATAAAGTGTAGAAAAATATTCAATGTAAACATTTTTATTTAATTTTTTATATTTTTGTGTGGAATATTTATTTTAAATGTATTTAATAATTTTTGTTTAATATTTCATCACAGTGAGTTCAAGTAATAGCTAAGTCTCACATTTTTTTAAAGATACAAAAAACGTTCCATAACTAGTAGACTATTTTAAATATTTATGTGTATCTTTTCATTGAATTTTACTGTATATTTTAAAGTTCATTCTAATTTTATTCTTCACAGATCCAAACAGAACAAACATGGGTTCAAAACAACTACCACCGCCACCACCACAACAATTCTCGTATGTATTTAATTTAATTTTTGAGCTTTTTATATCACTATACCTAATTTTTCTTAGATTGAAGAATTTAATGCTACCTATCACATTTTAGAACTTTTGACTAGTAAAAACCCCTATAGAGAATTTGAATCATTATTAGTAAAATACTATACTAGGTAACATTTCCCTTCTTGTTTCTGGGGGCACGGCAGTGCCCCCGCCAAGTCGAGCGCGAAGCAAACACTGCCGTACCATCCTTTACTGGAACCATTTCGCCGCATTTTTAGGCCCCTATTTGAGAACCTCTGGATAAGACCAGAACGCAGAAATTTTCGTCATCTAGTAAGCTATAATCACATACTTTAAATCCAAAATTTCAAGTCTGTAGGTCATTTAGTTCCGAAGTTAAGCGAAAGCAAAGTTTCACATTTACGACACTCACTCACTGATGATCATCAAAATAGAACTAGTACTTCCCATTAACTCAGAGGGCTGAAATTTGGTACAGAGTTAGGGTTTAATGGCCACATAAAGGGAAAACTATAAAAACTAGGAAAATCGAAGATCTGGAGTAACCACATTCATAATCAATACTACTCCGGCAGCGTGGTATTCGCCTGTATCGCTCACCGCTAGATGGCGCTAGCACTNGATTGGTGCAATGGTGTCATGGAGCACCTGGTTTTGTCACCCTTCAACGGCCAAGTCACACAACATTAACTATAATAATAAAGAAATCGCAGTAAGGAACCATAGACTTGGCACGACTTTGTCTAGATTTCATTACTTTTTAGAGATAAACAAGCAGCTCCATCGAGACTTGGCTAGTTTTTTACAGAATGTTTTTGGTGGGATTATACATTACAGTACTCTTCTTTGAACAGAAATATTCTACTTTTCAGAGCCATTGTACCTACAGTATTAAAATTTTAATTTTAGCTAGTGGCTTCATTAAAACTATTGTTGGCACATGCCATGCCCTACATACACAATTGCTGCTAAATGAATATCATATTGTAGGGTCAATTACAACAATTTATGTAGAGTCAGTTTCAGTTGGCATAAACACTGGTGTCACATAGTTTTACACATTTTTTCAGTGGCCTTGGCTCAATGTTGCACAGTTTCATTATAATTTCAACCTATTTGTATGAAGATTGAGTATTGTTAGGACCATTACTGTGTATTTGTTTGAGGAGTATTTGTCATTGACTGCATTATGTTAATTTTTTTAAGCAAAGCTAGAATGACTCTTTTTATGCTGTCTTTTTATTTTAGTAGAAATGTTAGTTTGGTTTGGTTAAATAAAAAATATAAATAGTCTTCATGAAAACTTTACTTCATTAACAATAGATTAAACTCTTTCTAATAAAAGGAATTTGTAATAATGTTTATTTAAACTATTTTTTCATTTATCTTATTTGCAAACCAGTTAATCTTTTTACTGTATATATTATTGTCAACTTTATTGCCTGAATAAACACAATATAATGTTAAATCCTAAGTAAGTAATCATATTGTTTTATGTTGTAATTATTATAATTGTCATGAGAGAAATATTTAACAGTAGGTCTAAAAACATAAACTTCTTATTTCAGTCACATAGATCATAAATTGGGTCACATTATTTGAACCTTCAATCAATTTATTGATAGGGAAACCGATATTTTTTTTTTATTCAAAATCGTGTACGAATTCCTATATGATTACAATTAGTATTCTCATGCTTCAATAATAAGCCTAACTTATTTTTATTAACATAAATTAAAATGCTATAGGTACCGATAGAACTACAGTACACTACAATATTGTAATCAATCTTAAAATGATTATGGAGTGTGCCATATTGATTACAGAGCAATTTTCACAATGATAGGCGTTATTGTAGCACATACTCAACAGGCTATACATTTTTATTGGAAAACAGCTCTTATTGCAACTCACATAAGACGCTGCAATGTTTAACTTCACATGCTATCTGTACTCACCGGCATGCCATATCAATTGTCGTATTGTACCGATTTATTCGCAGATTGCTACCCAAGATCATAAACGGCGGCATTGCCGGCATTGTGGGAGTCTCCGTGGTGTTTCCCCTTGACCTTGTGAAGACCCGCCTGCAGAACCAAACCATTGGGCCAAATGGGGAGAAGCAATATAAGAACATGTAAGTAAAGTAATAGAGTTCAATTTGCATTACACGTGTTTTTAACATGTTTCTAACTGAGGAGCGAGCGAACTGGAGAGTTGATGGCCGCTGGGGCAAAATAGTTCTCGAATGGCGACCACGGGCCAGAAGACGTAGTATGGGCCCCCCACTAGGTGGACCGACGATCTGGTGAAGGTCGCTGGATGCGGGCGGCGCAGGACCGGTCTTTGTGGAAAATATGCTTGGGGGATGCCTTTGTCCAGCTGTGGACGTCATTTGGCTGAAACGAAAACTACGAATAGTATGACCAATGACGATCGTATGTTTTATGACGTTTTGTAGTTTTGATTTGTTTACCTGTTGTCTCGAAAACAAAAAACAACTTGTTGTGAATTCTGAGTGGAATGATATTGCAGAATTCCAGTGTTTATTGAGTCTTAATATTACGTTAGATAACTGATCCAGCTAGTCTATCCGGTTTTGTGTCAATATGTTTATTTAATTAATAAGCTACAACAACTCACTCAAGTAGGTTCGCCTATTAAGAACCGGTATTTCAATACTATAATTAAAAGAAATACCTATTAGGCGAAACTACAGAACGGAATAGAAGAAAAAACTCAAAACAAAACTACAGAATGTAACAGAATAGAAAATACAGAACAAAGTTCAAAACTCGCTTCAATTGCCATTCAATTGATTCATATTAGTATTTTAATATTTAGACCAATCATATGAAGTAATCTATAGATATACTGAAACGAGTTTTGAGCCGCACGAATACGGATCTAATGCCCATTTTCACCATCAATCCGTACTTTTTAAGTGTTCCTATGGTAACGCATAACAGGAATTTTGTATTCTAAAGAGTCACTTAAAATTAGGGTTTGATGGTGAAAACGGGCATAAGTCTTCTATGAAACCTCATGACATTTTTGTCACACCCTGTATAAGTAAGGATTAATCCCATGCAGGTTGGACTGCTTCAAGAAGACGTACGCAGCCGAGGGCTACTTCGGCATGTACCGCGGGTCCGCCGTGAACATCATCCTCATCACGCCGGAGAAGGCGATCAAGCTGGCCGCCAACGATATGTTCCGACACTATCTCACCCTGCCTGACGGGTAAGAGTTATAGTTCTTGCAACTCACGAAATCGTTATGTGCATTTGCACATAACGATTTCGTGCATTTGCACATAACGATATAGTAATGTCTATCAAAACTTTTTGTGCATTTGCACATAACGATATAGTAATGTCTATCAAAACTTTTGAAAAACGAACAATAGCGAGCCACCACAAATGTAAAGCTCACTCGCCTTCGTGAATTGCAACAACTATACTTGTCAATGCAATTCATTTTAGTCGTACGTACTTGACAAGTTGCTAAGGTTGTACAATTTCTTATTCATACAACCTCAATTACTTCCTATTCCAATAAAAATATGCTAAGATTTATTTTAGCCTTTAATAGTTCATCAAAACGTAAATAAAATCATTAAGCAGACACTACCTAGTCCTGCTCTAGAAAACGTGAGAGCTATAATTGTGCGCTCGTCTTTGAAGCGACCTCAAATCTCAGTATCTCCTGAATCGATCAGAAACTAAATCACTGTTAGGTATTCCCATCCCTCGTTCCCACCACTGCAACTCGTGAGTAGCTAGAATCTGCAGCTTGCCTGCCACTATAAACCCAACCAATAACTAGGTCAAGTTTAAGGCCATCATCATCAGAATTACCAAGTTAAACTGTATCTTGTCTTACGTGAAGGTTTATTTTGTACATTTTCTCCATATTCAATCGTTTTTCGCCAGTTCGCTGCCAATTCCCCGTCAAATGATGGCGGGTGGTCTGGCGGGCGCGTGCCAAATCGTCATCACGACTCCCATGGAGCTGCTCAAGATCCAGATGCAGGACGCGGGCCGAGTAGCCGCTCAGGCTAAAGCTGGTATGTTATTACAGCTTCCACTGTGCTCCAACTGTCATTAAACGAGTTGGTTCTACCTTTTTATTTATACTCGACTGCGCGACGCAAAAGAGGCGATGTGTTTTTCTTTTCAGTTTTTATTATTTCTAAGTCACTTCGTCTTACAGCCTAGGGGATGTGCTTTCTCACACTGTACCGACCCGTCAAAAAAGTCCAAGATATCTGATATGTTGAAGTTGATAATGATAAGTAATAGTGACTATTATTGATGTAATAAGTAAAGGTAGATGCAGATAAGAAAGAAAAATTACCACCTTACCAAAATTACCGAATTCTATCAAGGCAGCGATTGAAACTTTTAGCAGGCTTATTGCTTTCGTAATAAGCTCTTATTTTTCTGTCTCTAGAAACAGCATTTCGGCACTCCGGCCAGCCGCAGTATGGCTTAATTTCCGTATACAAACACGTAAAAATAATATCCTTGTTTCAGAGGGCAAAACATTCCAGCGCATCACGGCGATGGAGCTTACAAAGAAGCTGATCAGAGAGCGCGGAATCTTCGGGCTGTACAAGGGAGTGACGGCCACCGCGGGGCGTGACGTGTCATTCAGCGTGATCTACTTCCCGCTGTTCGCCACGCTTAACGACCTGGGCCCGAGAGACCCTGCTGGTACTATACCTTTCTGGTAAGTTCCTTTATACATCTCTTATATTTGTCTTCGAGCTGTAACTAAGGGCTAAGGAAGTGACGGCGATCGGGACGTGACGTGTCATTCAGCGTGATCTACTTCCCCCTGTTTGCCACGCTCAATGACCTGGGCCCGAGAGACCCTTCTGGCACTATACCTTTCTGGTAAGCTCCTTTATAAGTACATCTCTTACATTATCTCCTGGCTGTATAAAGGAAGTGACGGCCACCGCGGGGCGTGACGTGTCATTCAGCGTGATCTACTTCCCGCTGTTCGCCACGCTTAACGACCTGGGTCCGAGAGACCCTGCTGGTACTATACCTTTCTGGTAAGTTCCTTTATAAGTACATCTTTTTCATTATCTCCTGGCTGTATAAAAGAGTGACGGGGGGCACCGCGAGGCGTGACGTGTCATTCAGCGTGATCTACTTCCCGCTGTTTGCCACGCTTAACGACCTGGGTCCGAGAGACCCTGCTGGTATTATACCTTTCTGGTAAGTTCCTTTATACATCTCTTACATTTGTCTTCTAGCTGTAACTAAGGGCTAAGGGAGTGACGGCAACCGCGGGGCGTGACGTGTCATTCAGCGTGATTTACTTCCCGCTGTTCGCCACGCTTAACGACCTGGGTCCGAGAGACCCTGCTGGTACTATACCTTTCTGGTAAGCTCCTTTATAAGTACATCTCTTACATAATTTCCTGGCTGTTTATGGAAGTGACGGCGATCAAGACGGGACGTGTCATTCAGCGTGATATACTGCTGTTCGTCACGCTCGGAACTCCACGAGGAGCGTGACATAACCGAGACACATTTTAGGCAGTGGCTCAGGTGGCACGTCCACCAAACCTCTGCCGTCTTAATTCAAACCTTACCGTCTTATCTTAAAGTCGAAAATTAACCAAAACGTACAATAATATTAACTAAAACAATTTTCCTTCTGCCCCCAGGTGGTCATTCGTGTCTGGCTGCGCGTCCGGCTCGACGGCAGCCCTGATGGTGAACCCTATGGACGTAGTCAAGACTCGCATGCAGACGCTGACCAAGGGCAGCGGCGAGCGCCAGTATACCTCCATCTTGGATTGTATCACGTGAGTCAAACTATTTAGTTCTTTTTTCTTTAAACGTTTGCTAGGAGCGACTCCCCCTAAGCCTAGGCTTAGTTGGCCGATAGTTGGGCCCGATTCTATTTTGTATGTGTATGGTCTATTGCTAGCCATACACCTTTCTTGATTATGTTGATTATGAAGAGAATGATTCAAACTCCTTGTTGAATGTAGATATTTATTACTTGATTACGTATAAAGGTACAATAATTGATTAACGAGAGTCGCGGCCACTTGTTAGGCTGCTAAATCGAACACTAAACTTAAAATAATGTAAAACATAAAATATAAAATTGGGTCAGCCGCGCATAGCAATATATTGCTGATGTTTGCAATTGTACGGTGACGCACCGTACATGTTCCGGGCCACCAGAGATGGAGGCGGGATGAAAGTAAAGTTTATGAAAATAGGGATGCACTACTAGTTGCTATGGGCGACGTAGACTTATTAACATTATGTATCGTATTAACACTATGTATCTTGTTAGTCTTGTTCTTGTGGTCTTCGTCTTCACTTGAGTTGCTTCGAATGGATGAGAGGCGCACGGTAGTGCGCTCCTCCGGGGGCGCGACAGTCGCCGCGCGTCGCACTCGCCGCCACGCCAGCCACGCTGCCGTGATGACTGCGGCGCCGATGATGATGTATATTAGAGCGTATTGATGTACATCGTGGTATGATACATCTGTGTTCAATACTGCTTGCTCTTTCAAATCTTTCAGACCTTTCTCGATGTCCGAAAGTTGTCTCTGACGTTCGTTAATTGTGTCGTCTACGATAGATGTTATCGGGATCGATGCGTTGATGATATTGTTGATCGGACTGATGTCTTGTGTCTGGATATCGGCGTTTGTTTTGATAACGTTGCGATCAAGGTTACGAGCGTGCACTGTAAATAGGTCGGACTTGACAATGCACCCGTGTGAAATGCTGACGAGGCCGGCTTGCTCCAGCTGTGGCGCGGTCACCTGATCCGCGCATATCACTCGTAACTGACACTTCTCACAACAAAAGTACAAGTACTTGTTTATTGTGTTTAATTCGACCCACTTATTGATGCAGGGGTGAACAACTGTTTTGCATTGTTTCTTATTGATGTCTAATTCACAAAGACTTTCTTCTTGCTTGAGGTGATATACAGGTTTCTTGAGTTGACATAAATAAGTCTGCTCTTGCTGATGACATGAGGAGATGTCTTCTTTTATCATCGTGATATAAGCATCTTTAGCTAAGTTGATGGCCAAGAATTCTGATATTGGGATCGTGTCTATCATCTTGCTATGATTTGTTGCAGTTGGTACGGGAATGAGATGAAATATTTCGAAGGAATCTCTGCCGACTAAAGGTACTTTTATCTCAAACAGTAGGTAATCTTCGCACATTCTGGCCTTGANAAAATTTTGAACGATTTTTACTTTCACTCCACTTTGACTCGTCGTTTTGTACAAAAACAGTATGAACACTACTACGGCAAGTTTTTTATAAAGTTGACGCAACTATCCAATATTCCAAAATGGTATAATACTCTAAGAAAACTAGTCGCAAAAAAGATATGCGTACCATTTTTGCAAGCACTTCGCTTGTTAGTTAGTATGGGATAAATCATGCAATTAAATTTAAAACCAGTTCTCCTCGACCAATTGAGCTGAAATTTGGTATACTTATTTAAGTACGATGACATTGCAATATTGTGGTATCATTGAGCTGGATGGAGTCTGGAGGTGGCCATAGGCACTTCTAAACGAAACGGCGGAATCGCATCTACACTCGCGAGCAAAAGTATGGAATCACTTACATGAAGTTGTTTCCATGCTATCTTGTGTACTAACCAATTTGTTAGTAACAAAAAAAGTAGCACCATTTTAAAGATTCAACTTTTAACTTTAAATTGATACCAAATTCATTTAAATCACACTAGTATTTAAAAAGATATCCCGCCTAATGTGAAGAAGTAAGGAAAAAGACATGTATCAACTGTTTGATACGTCGCGAGTTGCGGCCTATTTACCCCCCATAAAAGCAAGTGTTTTCGGATTTTTGCTTTCACACGTTGATCCATACACATCTCCGCTTCTTTTGACACTTTACCTGGGATTCTACACCTTCAGAAGCAGCACAAATCGTTGCACTATTGCAAGAAGGGCTCAGCCAGAGGGCTGTCGCACGTCAGCTCCACATAAGCCAGTCCTGGGTTTCGAAAGTTTTAAGACGCTTTTTGTAAATTGCATCTATGAGTTGCTCTTGGTTTGCTAAAATATCTTCCATTGAAGACATGCTTGATTATTGCTTGAAATTGTTTGAAATTGCTTGCTATAAATTGTATTTGTACCTGATTTACTTGCTTTTTTGATGAGTGTTCGAGTGTTTGATGAATGCTTGCTTGTTTCTTGATTTCTTACTTGTTTGATGAATGCTTACTTGTTTCTTGATTTCTTACTTGTTTCTTGATTGCTTGCTTGTTTGATGAATGCTTACTTGTTTCTTGATTTCTTGTTTGATGTATTTGCTTGATTCTTGATTTCTTGTTTAGGTACTAGTCCCCAATGTCTTTGCGAACTCTGTACAGATTATGCGCCTTCTCAATCCAGTTGGTGAGACCCTCTTCCGGGAGGCCAAATGGACCGATTCGCTCCGTACGCGAGATTCACAAAGCACTGAGTTTTCTTGATTGTAGATAAATCCGGCTCGAATAAAGCTGTATGGTCTATTGCTAGCCATACACCTTTCTTGATTATGTTGATTATGAAGAGAATGATTCAAACTCCTTGTTGAATGTAGATATTTATTACTTGATTACGTATAAAGGTACAATAATTGATTAACGAGAGTCGCGGCCACTTGTTAGGCTGCTAAATCGAACACTAAACTTAAAATAATGTAAAACATAAAATATAAAATTGGGTCAGCCGCGCATAGCAATATATTGCTGATGTTTGCAATTGTACGGTGACGCACCGTACAGTATGAAACATGGCCGATACCAAATCGGTGTAATGTGCGCATTTCCATACATGCCCATACTGATTAACTGCCCGACTAAACTATCGGCCAACTAAAAATCAATGGTCTGTGCCCCTTATTACAAAAAGCTAAACCCGGGATGGTCACTGGTTTGAAATGAAATGTCCATGCTATTTCTATAGAGTTCAACTATAGAACTTTTTGTAATAAGGGACAATGTATAGTGACTCCATTCGCACTTTTTTGGCTTCACCTTTAAGCAGTAAAGTGACTCTAATAGCATTTATTTTGAGTTCATTTTATATCCGTAAAAGTAGCACTATCGCACTTTTTTGGGTTGACTTTTAAAGCAGTAAAGTATTATTGAACTTTTTTGGATTCATATGTATGCTGTTGAATGTCACGAAGTACATATTTCCAACGGTTTGATCAATTTTTATAAACAGCTGGAGCGATTCAAATTCCACCTACAGTCTCGCGCTACTATCTTTTTTGGCGATTATTATTATCAAAATCGACACTAAATAACGTATTATGTCTACATCGAGTATCAATTAAAGTCACCACCAGCTGATACCGTGAAATAAGTATTAATTTCGGTGATTTATCATCGTTGTTTACAAATCATAAACAGTTTAATTACGTATTTTGATTCTGTAAAAAAATGACATCACTTTGTGTAATTTTAGTTATGCATTGAAGCTAACACGATAAAGTACTATCAGAAGACAGCCTCAACTTAATCCAGTCTTATTTATACAATTGTCAAAAATATCGTAAATTATCTCATCTGTAATCTTGATTTTCGATAGCGGCACAGTACAAGATAAAAGTATTACACGTAAATTTAAAAGGCCCTTCATCCTTCTTCATCGGTCCACTAACATTAACTAACACCGACTTGTCATAGTATTGTGAAGAATCATTTCTTTGATTATAACGTGAAATTAATCTCATAGCTTGCTAGTCTCTTGCCAGGATACTTGGCAACTTGCTGCTCTCTTTTAAAAGAAAAAAATATTTTTCTGAGGGTGTAGTGTCAGTTTACGCCAAATGCATTCGGTATCGACTGCGTTTGAAATAGTGACATAAAATGTATGACGGATTGTACAGCGCCCCTAGCGGAAACTTTCAAGAACTAAAATTTTCATGTATTTTTTTGACGCAGTCGATATCGAATGCGTTTGACGTAAACTCACACTACGTCCCCTGGAATGTTTTTAAATTTTTTTGTTTTTTCTACAGACAAATGCTGAAGCACGAAGGTCCGACGGCGTTCTTCAAAGGCGGCGCTTGCCGAATGATCGTCATCGCGCCGCTCTTCGGTATCGCTCAAGCCATTTACTACGTCGGCATCGCCGAGAGGTTGCTGGGTATCCGATAAACAGGTACGGGTGTTTGATATCTCGAGATATTGTTATCGATATGCCAATCGATTCGATTATGAGTTTGAAATAGTTTGAAATCTGATTTGGGATCGCATTATCTTACAGTTAATCAGACCCGAGTTTCGTGGGTGTGAAGTGCTTAAACTGATAGCTTCAATAGTTATTTACAATCTAAAAATATTTTATCAGCAGTTAGTTACATAGTTTATGGAAATACATACTACGTAACTTTTAAAAACTGTTGAATTTCAATTCACGAGGAAAAAACGTTTTGTTCGATAATTGCTATTCGTTAAACCTGGATCTTAGCTTCTCAAACTTTTGCTTCAAATGTTGGAAACATTCAAATGGTTGAATTGCGCTCACCCCACTATGGAAACTTCTACGTCTGTTCACGTATTGAACATAACGATTCTCCCATATTATTATGTCTTGTCTTACATATTTGACCACACAGTATCCTATCTGGAATAGGCTACATACACTATCATAGTATCAAGTTATCTCTAAAAAAATCCTTCAACGTGCGAATTCATATCAATATCTCGAGTATCAACACGCTTCTAAACGCGTTGTACATGTTTCATCGATTTGGCTATCAGAAAACTCGTATCTACATTCTTGAGTTTTTGCTCCATAAATCACTGTTTTGTCTTTGTTTGATTTTGCTAACTAACTAATCAGATTCTCGAATAAATATCCAAAGAATGAGCTTGATCGATGAAGTGTGTAACGCTCATATTAAAGTGATGTGAAAAATGTCTGTCTGTATTGTTGAAAACGCGTCATATGACAATGTGTATTTGCGGCGCTTATGTAAACCTACATAGTATACTATACTATCAGTAAAATAAAATTTTAATAGAAACATACAGATATACATTCTTGACATCTTGCAGTCAAGTGCTGGCCACTTAGAACAAATAAACCTGATATTTTTAATTGTTTTCTACGTCTATTTTTTAAAGTGCATTACTTTTACTTTGTGACAATAATTTATTTTAACAGATTAGAAGCTAATTTATAATTTGTTAAGTAGGCAATTTTATTTGATAACTGTGTTAACCGACGCTAACTCACAACATGCTGTGCTCATCAGTGTTACCAGTGAAAAATAATAATCTTATTCCTTGCGGCATGCAAGGAGTAATGATCAGCCAGTGACATAATATATTTACTAATACTAAAATACTGGCATCAAAAAGGCAATATGATTTTAATAAGTTACAAAATGTATCAAAACCCTGTTAAAAATCTGGTTCAGTATAAATACTCGTATAAATGAAGAAACATTTAATTGTTTAAGTTAAAGTTTTGTTCAATGATATGACCTATCGAAATATGAAAAGACAAAAAAATTGTAAAGCTTTAGTACTCAGAATGAAATAGTACAGTTAGTACAGCATATAATTCACACTACATAGTATAAATTGTACGGGCCCAACCATACCATTCCGTATTGAATATTGAATGGGGCATCATTCAAGACGTTACCCATATTTTTAAAATTCATCTATCTCTCTCACTCATATCAAAAAGTTACCATAAGTAACATTGACAAATAGTTCCAAATGTAACAAACCGCGTTGCGATATCATTTTTAGGGCCCGAAAACTTTCAAATACTGCAATATTCCCATTAGGTTCCGCTTAAAAAGGGGTGTAAAAGTCCTCAACGCCAGCCAGGAGGGCTGAGCCATCCTCACCGGCGCGCGGTGCACTCTGCTGACCAACGGACGAGGCTCTGGCGATTGCCCAAAATTATCGTTTCATTTATATTTATGAGGGGGCGTAAAAAGGGAGGGGTAGGGAGGGGGCAGTCTGATCCAAAGGAAGGGGTTAATCAGGTTTTTTATGGAAGTTCCCACCGCTCTTAGACACTTGAGAATGAAAGTTAAAGTTGATATGTAGGGGTTTTTTTCCAGCGAGACTCCTGTCCTCCCCTTCCCCTTTTGGTACGCCCACGTAAGGATGCGACCTTAGTACCATGTCGCATTAGGGCGGTGCTACACTGCTGCGAGTGTCGCGACATAAAAAGTGACGAGCAGCCACTCAAAACCAGCACGACCTTTGCCGTAGCAAAACTTCGCAGAAAACGAATGCCTTTTTTGATGCTAGACCATTTTCATATTGGGGTGAATTTTGATTTATTTGTTTATAACAAAATGACAATTATTTTTTTATTAGTTCATTTATAATTGATAATAAACATGAGTTGTAATTAAGACATTTCACATTTCCAATGCCATAAAATGGTCCGCTATTGCATAGCTCAATTATTTTTATATTCTGTTAGTCATTTTTCAAGTGAGAGTTTAAGTGATATTATTATTATGTAAACCATATTTGTTGCAAAATTTTGTTGTTGCCATTTGTGTATAAATAAAGAAGCTAGGTATATTAATTTAGATAGCTTTCGAATTTTCATAGCTATACGATATATTTACTTTCTCATGATATTAGTCGGCCGTTTGGTGTAGTGGTTCGGTAACGGACTACTATGCCGAGAGGTCCCGAGTTCGATTCTCGGTCGGGCAGAAATTGAAATTATGAATTTTAATTTCTGTGACGGGTCTGGGTGTTACATGTATAATATGTATGTATTTACAAAAAAAAAGTATTTAAGTATGTTTATATCCGTTGTCTAGTACCCATAGTACAAGCTTTGCTTAGTTTGGGACTAGAAGCGTAGTGTAAAATGTCCAAGGATATTTATTTATTTATTATTATTATTAGTTCACATAAATTATGTATAATAATGAAGTGTATTTACTGTGTATTGCATGTCTTCCTAGCCTGGTTTGCATTTATTCTACCAACTGCCAAGGGTGAGTGCTTTCATATAAAATCGATTGTAAGTCCTATTATAACAATGGAATTGATTTTTTTACTTAAATAATATGTTATTCATGACCTTATTTATTATTTTTTAAGTATTACTAAATGATGTCCTTGTATTGTGATAGTCAATCGTGAAATATTTAATTAATCGATCATTTCATGCAGATGTATTCTAAGGGTGTATACTGTATAATTATGTCATGTTCGTGTCCTTGTTTTAACGAATGTTATTCAATTATAGTACATAATGACAATAATTATGGAAACTTGAAAATATAGTAAGCATTATACTATAATGTTACCTCGTATATGTATAATAAATGTCAATTGTGGGTCTAAAAGATCGTTTCTGTGGAACTGGATGTATATCTGTGTATGAATTTAATGTTTTTGTCGGATATTTTAGTCATGAAAATGACTATAGTTTCATCGTCAATGTATTTTTAAAGGGCTTTTGATGTTTGCCAATCAATAAACTATAAAATGGATTTTTGAACTGTGTCAATTTCAGTTTTTACAAGGCTTTACAAAATACTGGCCGCCTCAATGAAAAAGGGTACAACTATTTTTTTCTCAAATGAAGTTTATACAATTTGGGAATCTGACAAAAGGCTCTCAATCTGCTCAAGTTTTATTGTGTGCTTCAGTGAATATTTAAGAACTTTATAGATCAAAAAATATATTTTAGAAGTTTACAAAATGCTTTTTGTACCTTTTTGCATTGTGACGGCAGAATATCATCAATCAAAGAACAAAGTGCCAATGAGCTTATCATCATTACAATTTGGCTTACTAGTACGTCCTTATGTAACACTAGCTTATGAATAAATATTAGTTATATTTCAATCTGCCATCCAATCCAGTAGTTAATTTGCTAAATTATTTAAGGTACAAAATGCCTAAGAGGGCAATAATTAAAAAACATGAATTAGCAATTTGTCTATGTTCCTGATGCTTTACAAATTCTGAAGTTAGTCTACATTATGATGAAGAATAGTAGTAAGATTTGTTGAATTTGCCAGTGAAAAGGAAAGTAGCTAAATTCCATATTGTAAAATAAGGAAAACTAAGAAATTAATTTGAGCCTTGATCAAGTCTTTTAATTGTTTCAAGACCACGAATATAATAACTGGTTGATTAATTCTGCAATAGAAAGTCTTAAAAGATTCCATAAAAGAAAAGTTCTATGTAGTAGGTATTTAGAAAAAATAGAACACTTGATTTTATTTGTTTAAGACATTAGAATTCTAATTAAGATAAGAAATTGCACAAATCGTACCTAAACACAACTAAACTATAATTTGTGTAAATAAATTATGATAATTGGAATTCAAATGCGTCATGAATCTTCAGACATANACTTTATACAAAACTTGCCGCAGTAGTGTTTATACTGTTTTATTACAAAACGACGAGTCAAAGTGGAGTGAAAGTAAAAATCGTTCAAAATTTTAAGGAAATATCATATTTTGATTAACTTTTGTGTAAAAACTGCAAGGATTCTGATGGTTTTAAGAATTGGAGAGGATAGCAGCACTACTTAAGTTGCCGATACATACAAAAAAACAGAAGTATTTGAAAAATTGTGGTCGTGGTAATGTAAAATATCATAAGGGGTGTCAATTTCCGACGAATTTCATAATTTATTGTGTAACTTAAAAAATAATTGAGATAGATTTTTTTCTTATTTTTCCTAAAGTAGTCATGACTATGTCCATCCTGCGGCGCCGGCTTATCCTTGAATTTTGGGACACGTTGTATACATGATGGTGATTGTTTAACTTTTATAATATCTTTTACAAATCAGAGTGTAAAAGTATCAACCTATCTCTCTTTAACTGTTTCAAACTTATTATTTAGATAAGTATATAATTTATTTAATAAATCCAAAATCTTGTGGTAGGTTGATGTGCTTTTGACTGTACACTCGACAGTCCTTACAAATTCTACTGTCAATTTTATGTCTAAAATATGCAACAAACTAATTTCTATCAAATATTGGTGTTAAGTGTATCGTTGTTAATCCGGTTCAATTGACGAATGTTGCATGAACTACACGTGCTTTGTTATTATAGGTAATAGATGTTTACATAAATGTAGAAAAAATACAACTTTGTTTCATTGATTACACCTAAAAGTTCTTCATCATAAATGACTGTGTAATGGATTTCATATCGATTGTGTTGGAAAATGTATACGAAAAATTAAATTGATATTACAGTTTTGTCGTTGACAACACTATATTGAAATCAGGATATAGTTGATCGATTCTGAAACGTTAAATGGCAAAAATTAATAACCCAGTATTGATAGTAGCGCCCTCCTATCAATTTCTAAGCTAGGACGGTTCAGAATCGTTCAACATATTCATATAGTAGTAGTACAACGACATCAGACTACACATTTTCGTTGCAAATTCGCCCCTAGGATAACTACATAAAAGCCTTCAGCGTTTAGTTTGATGTAACGCCGTCTGTACGTCAAAGAAACCATTGCCAAGGTCATACAAAAATAAAATTAATGACACACCTTTATAAAGCACACATTAATCTCTGCCTTAGAAATTATGGATGCCATTGTATAACTTATTTGGTATTGCAAAATGATATGGTGCGCATTGTCTTCTATCATTAAAGTTTAATAGGTTAAATACAGTGGTTAAAATTAGAAAATAAATGCGCACGCAAGTGAGATTTATCACACTTATTTTGTTTGATTAGTGTGGATATTTTTAATTGTTTATTTTTAATCCAATAAACATTACTAAGTATTGTGACCTCAATTAAGTAAAAGATAGACAGCAAAATTAACTTGAAACACATTTTTTAGGATATTAGATCCTTAATTCGATGTGAATTGCTTTTTTATGCGAACATCCTGTATTGTTATATGTCTACCATTTCCTTTATGTTTTCAAGTACAGTCAGTAGCAAAATAAAATAGTCGTAAATATATTACCTATACTTGCTTTTTACCCGCAATTCGTCCGTGATTGGTCCGTCACAGAAGGCTAATATAGGCGCGCGATCCAACCTTTCAAAAGTGGGTTAAAAACTGAACTTACGTTTTTCCCTGAGCTTCAAAACTATCTTTAAATGGGTTTCAGTGGAAGTGTGTTTACAGTTACATTCGTACTTATAATTTTAGTATGTCCTTTAACTTCCTGACTGGTGGTCACTGTCTCAATCTGTATGTAGTTTTTTTATTTTAACTGTACCTTGTTAGTGATACCAACCTATTTTTTTTACAGAAACAATAGGTACAATTTTTTTTTCTCTTAAAATGCTATCCTAATGGAAAATTATCACATAATTAACTTCTGTTGTTGATTGTACATAATGTATCAACTGCAATTACGGGCGATAGGCAAATAAACCTCTACTTTCTTGGTTACACGTGACGTGTCTATTATTAGACTGACAATTAGCATACATAAGTTCGTAACTGGATCATTATGAATATGAATCCTTGCGCTTAACCCGGGCAAGGGCATAACATACGTTAAATCAGGAACTAGACGATTAAAGCCATTGTCATGTGTGAACA